CTGAATGGCGTTATGTGGTCTATTCTGGCGTCTTAATTTGATGTCGTTTTGCTGTTCCGATATTGCGTTGATAGTTTTCTGATTGCTACTTTATATCCAGTGCTTTCCACGAGACTAGAGTTCCATTAGTTATTATGGGTTAAGTGGCACACCGTGGATGTCAAGTGACAATTTGCATTTCTCTCCTACTCCTCCGAAGCTCTGTATTTCTATTACTTTGAAATTGGATATGATGTTGCTATACAAAGAAATGAACAACGATTCTGGATTTAACTTGGTGAATGATCCAGTCGTGGATAGTGTAGTGCCTTGTGGTGAACGAGGGTCTAAGCACGATCCGAATTAGCGTGAAATTCTTCAACATCTCGCCAACTTGAGCCCACGTTTCGAAGAATGGGACCGACATATCGACCAAACACTGCTTCTTTGAGAGCTTACGTTATGACTTCAATGCCAAGATGGACAAAGCAGTCGAAAAACTCGGTCTCAATGGCGAGCGATCTGCTAATGCTTCGGGACCTAGAACATAGTAATCTGCATGCATATGTCAAGGTGTGAGTACAACCTGAGGATCGAACATTGACTTGAATCACTATTACTGTTACAGCGAAGATTCGCATGCGCCTCTTTGCATCAAAGAACACACATTTTACCACACAAGTTAAGCTCGGTGTCGCGACAAGAGGGTCTCAACAAAACCGGCGAACGACTGTCATTTCTGCTCACTACAAGAAAGGAACTATATCGGCGAGTAGAAAGATGAAATTTCTAGATCTTTGCATACCCCCGCTGAAGAGTTAGATTCCAGAAATAAATGCTGCGGTGAGAAAATGCCGAACCTCTAGGGCGAAAACCCGAAATGCGTTAATGAGTAGAGCTCGAAAAGCTACGAAGGCACTTGAAACAAATTGAGTCAAGTTTCTGTAAATATTGTAAGAGAATGACGAATAAGACGGGTATATGCAGTTAAAAGGTCCCTGTATTGGTGGCAGCATTGAATTGAACGGAGAGATGAAGTTCCCGAACCACCAATCGGGTGTGTCCTATCACCTATGAAATCGTTCAAGCGAGAATAGCACAGCTTACATACAAAAAACACCACAGAAGCACTCGACTTCCTAGCGAGGATAGTTAAGTATTTTTTTCTTACTGGCATTAGAAGATTTCGTAAGTTGCGTATCGACCTAATTTTCCTTCTGAAAGATTAGATAGGCCGTTTTTGTCACTCTTGTACCACTGTGCCCCCTTCGAAACAGCTGATCAGTTACAAAATTTAGAAATTAAAAGCTTTCATGTTTCACAATTAAAAAATCATTACAGAGCATGTTTTACGTCGTTCAATGAACCGTGTCTCGGCAGAGCGCTTTTAATCGTCGCTAAGACGAACGTGACAGTTCGTATTTACATATTTATCTAGCTGCAACTGTCACACATTATAGTCGATCTATTGTTTTCTCTCAGATATTCTAATCGACTTTGTAACATTAGAATCTTTATATGAATTCTCTGGCCGGTTGGGTGGCACAGAACTTCGCGAATCGGTGGCGGAATCGCACACGGCTTGTAGATCGGTTAAAGACGCGCGTGTGCTCGTAAATACTTGAATAGCAAATATCTCGAACTGAGCAAAGTCAGTGCAGCTCATATTAATTGCGCTTAATGAATTAAAAATAACTTGCAAATTGTAGCCTTAGATAAAAAGATTAACAAATTATAAAATATGCCGCGTCGTTTTTTGCTCCGTATTTTTGCTAATCACGTTCCTGTTCGCTAGCGGCTGCGGTGTATCGCATGCACAAAGGGGTAATATTATAATGGATTTTTTCGAGTTTTTGCGACGTGGCCAAAATGATTTGAATATCGAGCATGTGGATGATGGTGTGAGGTTACTAAAAGAGTATGATTTCATAGTGGTCGGCGCGGGCACTGCGGGTTGTGCGCTAGCGGCGAGGCTCTCGGAAAATTCTGCTTGGAAAGTGCTGCTAATCGAAGCAGGTGGCCCGGAAAATATGGCCATGGATATACCAATACTTGCCCATTTCCTACAACTCACCGAAATCAATTGGAATTACCGGACGCAGCCGTCGAGTAAATATTGCCTCGCCATGAATAATCATCGCTGCAATTGGCCCCGAGGCAAAGTCATGGGCGGGTCGTCGGTACTCAACTATATGATGTACACCCGCGGCAATCGACGCGACTACGATCGCTGGGCCGAGATGGGCAACGAGGGCTGGAGTTACAGCGACGTTTTGCCTTACTTCAAGAAGTTCGAAGGATCTACAATCCCCAACGCCGAAAGCGACTATGTAGGCCGTCATGGGCCGGTCAAAATTTCCCATGCTGATTGGCGTTCCGGCATCTCCGATGCTTTCATAAAGGCCGCACAGCAGGATGGATTGATGTACCGCGACTACAATGGTCGCATACAAACGGGCGTGTCATACCTGCAGTCCACCACATACAAAGGCATGCGTTGGAGCTCCAATCGCGCCTATCTCTATCCCATCAAAGGCAGGCGCCCTAATCTGTATGTGAAAAAGAATGCGCTGGTGACAAAAGTTTTAATTAATCCGACGACAAAGACCACATACGGCGTAGTGCTGAGCACTGGCGGTCAATCGTTTCAGGTGCGCGCACGCCGTGAAGTAATTCTGTCGGCGGGTGCTATCAATTCGCCGCAGCTGCTCATGATATCCGGCATTGGGCCCGCACAGCACTTGCGTGATATGGGAATCAAGCCAATCGCGGACTTGGCCGTCGGTTTCAATCTGCAGGACCACATTGCACCAGCCGTTTCATTTACCACCAACGTCAGCTCAATTAAAACCGCCGACTACTTCGAAACACGAAACATAATGCAGTATGTTGAAGGAAAAGGACTTTTCGGTCTGCCCGGCGCTGTGGAAACGATCGCCTTTTGGGATCTGAGCCACCCTGAACTGGAGGATGGTTGGCCAGATTTGGAAATGTTTCAATTAGGCGGCTCCTTCGAAGAGAATCCAGCAACGCTGCGCGCTTTCGGCCTACAGCCGGACACCTACAATACCATGTTCGCAAATGTCAAAACAGACGGTTTTATCCTATTTCCTATGATGCTACGGCCTAAGAGCCGCGGACGTATAATGCTCAAGAGCAGTGATCCCTTCAAGTACCCGCTTATGCATGCAAACTACTTCGCACATCCCGATGATTTGGATATCGCTGTGCGGGGTGTGCTCAAGTCCATCGACTTGGTGGAGCGACCTGCTTTTAAGGCGATCAACGCAAAAGTGTTGGAGCGCGTTATGCCCGGCTGCGCTAATCTGCCATACAAGTCCCGCGCTTACTGGGAGTGCTACGTACGCCATTTCACATTTACCATCTACCACTACTCAGGCACAACCAAGATGGGACCGCGCAGTGATCCAGCTGCTGTGGTGGATGCGCGGCTGAGGGTGTACGGAGTGAAGAACTTGCGTGTAGTGGATGCGAGCATTATGCCGGAGATAATTGCTGGACATCCAAATGGGCCGGTATTTATGATTGCCGAAAAGGCGGCGGACATGATCAAGCAGGATCATAACTACGTTTAGTGAGAAAAGTTGGAGTGAGGTTCCGTCTGTTGAAGGGGTCGTTATGAAGTGGGAAAATTCTTGTGATATATAAAGCTTAAAGAGTGTAGGTGAATCGAAAAGCGAAGTGGTAGTTTCAGCGGAATTGGTACATGGTAACTTCTCAGGGATTTTACGAAGGGTTCAATCAAGAACACCTATCATAAGTACAACACAAATCGACGGGTTTTTTCGACCTCTGGTTTTGCTGAGCGAATGTGAAATCGAATTCCAATAATACTCAATTGATTTCTTTGTTATGAATCATATTTTGCACATCAACTTCAAGTCTTTATGACATTGTCTCCTCATAAATTATTGGCGCGTTCGGAGTCGTCCAAGCGTCTGCTTGCAAAACTATGCACCCCACAAGTTCAACAACCAATTAAGTTTACCGATCAGTGCGCAACTAAACACCACTGCGGATGCATTGAGGCGCAAACGTGTCCACTGGCATGTTGTGGCGAAGCAGTAAGCTGAAAGCGAAATCAAGATAGAATAATGCTTGCCACGCGATGCACAAAAGCAACACGAGCTTAGAAGACCCAGCAAAACAGTGTTTCACTTTCGATAGACCAGCGACAATACACACCACAAGCACAATAAAACTATTAAGAAACGCACACATAAGCGTGGTGTACCTTGGAACGCAACGCCAAAGAGCGCGGCGACAAACGGAACAGCTGGCAAGTTCAACAGCGCAAGTTCGCAGCTGCGCAACTTCACTTGCTGTCTTCGTCATCGCCAGCGATGCCGTCTTAGCAGTCGGCGCGCTGACTTAAAGTGTTGGACAACCTGTTCGCCGCACTGAATTATTGGGTTGGCTTTTTGCCTTTTTTTGTTGGTAGTTATAAAGCAATCGAAGAAGAAGCTGACGAAGAATAGTCGAATAGTCGCCGCCACTTTATTTACTACAAATATTAAAAACACATACGCCCGCCGAACGGCGAACATTCGAAGTTACGTTTCCTCAGCGTTAAGACGCGCGGTTCCGAGAATACGGTCCACCGCACACGGCGCAGACAACGGGCACGCGGTTCTAACAAATAAGCAACAAGTACAGATACAGAGTGACTAGAACGCGGTAGCAGCGTTAAGAAGCTGAATACTGTTAAGAAATTAAATAAAAAAATAAACAAAAAGATTTTGCCAATCAAGAAAAACGAGTGCAAAGTGTTTAAAAGACATTGAAGTGCATGGAAATTGAGAAAAATAAACAATCAGCCAAGAACTGTGTAACTTTGAAACTTGTGTTGTGTTGCAAAGACTGTGCGTATTTCTGTAGAAAAACTCAGTAAAAGCGCAGCTGATTTATCGAGGGTCGCTTTGAAAACGCAAATAGTGAGATCAGTCGCGTTTTAACACGCGAAATTCTTAAAGTCAAGAAAAATTGAGTTAACTCAAAAAATGCTTTTCCTACTGCAGCCACGGCTCCTCTTGTTTATGCCGCTATGCATTTTTAGTGCACTCACTTGGGCGCAGGAGCGCAACGTTATCCTCGAGACATTCGACTTTCTGCGCCGCGGCCAAATTGACGCCGATCTGGAAAACTATGACAACAGTCTGCGAATGGAAAGTGAATATGACTTCATTGTCGTGGGCGCAGGTACGGCAGGATGCACGATCGCAGCGCGTCTCTCGGAAAATCCCAAATGGAAAGTGCTTCTACTCGAAGCCGGCGGCCCAGAGAGTCTCATAATGGATGTGCCGATTGTCGCACATTTTCTGCAGCTGGGCGAAATGAATTGGAAATATCGCACACAGCCCTCGGATCACGCTTGTTTGGCCATGAACAACAACCGCTGTAATTGGCCGCGAGGTAAGGTCATGGGCGGTTCATCGGTGCTCAATTATATGATGTATACTCGTGGTAATCGACGAGACTACGACCGTTGGGCAGAGTTGGGCAATATAGGGTGGAGCTGGCGTGATGTGTTGCCCTATTTTAAGAAGTATGAAGGCTCGAGTGTGCCTGATGCTGATGAGGATTTGGTGGGGCGTGATGGACCTGTGAAGATTTCGTATGTCAACTGGCATTCGAAGATAGCCGAAGCCTTCTTGGAAGCAGCTCAGCAGGACGGTTTGGAGCGGCGCGACTACAATGGACACATACAAAACGGCGTCAGCTTCTTGCACACCACCACACGTAATGCAACGCGTTGGAGCTCAAATCGCGCCTATCTGTATCCGCTTAAGGGCAAACGTCGCAACTTGCACGTGAAGAAATTCGCTTTGGTCACAAAAGTACTCATCGATCCGACAACGCGTGCCGCTTATGGCATAATTGTGCGCACCGACGGGCACGAACACAAAATTCTGGCGCGTCGTGAGGTGATTGTCAGCGCTGGTGCCATTAACACGCCACAACTACTCATGCTTTCCGGTGTTGGTCCAGCCCAACATTTGCGCGAAATGGGCATTAAAACGATTGTGGACTTGGCGGTTGGCTTCAATCTGCAGGATCACACAGCGCCTGCCGTCACCTTCACAACCAACGCGACATCGCTGCATTTCGAGGACTTTGCTGATCCAACGCTGGTGAATCAATTCAATCGACAAGAAGGTCCCTACGGCTCGCCAGGAGGCTGTGAAGCTATCGCATTCTGGGACTTGGATCATCCGCATTTAAAGGATGGCTGGCCAGATATCGAATTGTTCTTGGTGGGCGGCTCAATGTCCTCAAACCCAGCTATCTCACGTGGTTTTGGCCTCAAAAAACTCATCTACGACTCCATGTTCGCGGAAATTGAAGATAAAGCACTTAACGCTTTTATGATCTTCCCCATGATACTGCGACCCAAGAGCCGTGGACGCATCATGCTAAAGAGCACTGATCCACAGAAATATCCACTCATCTACTCCAACTACTACGCACATCCCTATGACGTGGATATTTCCGTACGTGGTGTACTAAAAGCAATCAGCCTGGCCAATTACCCAGGCTTCAAGAAAATCAATGCTAAGCTGTGGGATCGCAGAATACCTACGTGCAAGGGTCGTGAGTTCGGAACTCGCGAATACTGGGAGTGCCATGTGCGGCATTTTACCTTCACAATCTATCACTACTCGGGCACGGCGAAAATGGGGCCGGCAACAGATCCTGCGGCTGTGGTGGATCCGAGATTACGTGTATATGGCATAAGAAATCTGCGTGTAGCGGATGCAAGCATCATGCCAGAAATCATGTCGGGACATCCGAATGGACCGGTTTTCATGATTGCCGAGAAGGCGGCGGATATGATCAAAGAAGATAATGGTTTTAAGCAGTGACAAAGGCGAAAGGAGTATGAAGTGTAGAATGTATTTAAGTGCCAAGATTTCCAAATGTGGGCAACTAGGAATAATAAGAATGTGTGGAACAATTAGTCTAAGGTGAAAATATAATTTAATTAATTTAATTTAATTGTAAGTAAACAAACTATGGCCAAGTGAACTAATATAATGAGAAATAATTTAAGTGGAAAATAATTTATAATTTATAGCTAGTGTAATGTACAAGACAAGCCGCTTTCATAAAGAATTCTAAGTCTAAATATTTACATGCACATATGTACATATATACGTTTAGTAATATAACAGTGCACTGACAATAATTTTTAAGTTTCAATGTGTAAATAAAATCAATTTGTGTAAGCTGTGAATTTGTGTAAGCTGTGAATTTGTGTATATTTGACATTGGCCATTGAAGTGTGTTGCCTTCGGCTTCGGCTGTGGCTAGTTTTGATGTAGGTATTTACATGTGCCGTTTTATAACTAAGTTTTAGTTGAATTCGATTCAAAATGAGATTTCGGTCATTCACTTGCTTTGGCATCTTCCATATCTTTCATTCAATTTTGGCGTTTGGACAATTCAACACACATTTTTGCCATTTTCGCTTCATGGCTTTTCGCCAGCTTCATTCGGCTATTATGAAATTTCATAGTAAATTTATGCGTAATTTTAACGCAGCGAAGTATAAGCACATGTAGACGAGTTTTTTTCCAGGGTGTTCGGTTAAAATGATTATGGGCACTGATAATAACGAAAATCTTAAAAGGCAGTGTTAATTGACACAAAATTAATAGATATATGACTTTTCATTTCTGATCTTTTTTGTTTACCTTATTTTTTTCATTTCATTTAATTTCATGTTACGTTATTTCTCGTTTTCGAAAATTTCTCTTTATTTTTTAGTTCCTTAATTTTATAAATATTTTTTTCTTTTTAAACCTTTAATTTTAAAAGTCTTTAAAAACTTTGTTTTTTTT